ACGTTTGAGCTGAGGGTTTGGGGTGTGAGCTGTAGGAATGTGCGGGCCGGGGGCTCGAGGTCTGGATCTCGATTTGGGGCTTCGGCTGTAAAGCATATATAGTTGTTCGAGCAGGGTCGATCTAGACTTAAGACTGTCGAGTTGCACGACTTCACATGCCATTCGACCTTTATCTAGTCCGTGTACGTGATAATAAGAATCGTACCAATAAATGAAAACATAGCAATATTCACCCAAGGTTTCAAGAATACTATAATCATAGTAATTATCGTCATCATCATCATCATTATCNNCATCATCATCAGCATCACCATCATGATCATCACCATTATCAGCGCCACCATCACCGCGATCGTCACAACCATCATCAACATCATTGTCATAATAGACAGAACAAGAACAGCATGTAACAATAAGAACAACAAAATAATCAGAATAGCAAGAATACTGACACTGAAACAAGGCCAGGAGCTTCGGCTGGAGACTTCGTCGGACGACTATGCACCAAGTCTCTAAAACAACTTGAGCCCTGCAGATCTTGACCTTGGACATGAACGTTATTTTCTTACTATTCTTACTACCATTACTATTATTAGTATACTCATTATTGGTGTTATTTCTAGTAGTAGTCAGAGCAGGTTTGGAAGATCCACAATCGTTTCGGTGGGTCGGCTAGCTTCCAATCGCAAAGAGGCTGTTCTTGCCGCATTTAGTGACCAATGTAGTGCTGCTACGAGTACACCACTACTGTGGCCTCCCTGAACACAATATTCTCCGCCGACATCAGCCTTTTCGATACTGTGACTTTAACAGCACTACTTAGCAGCAGCAACAACGGCAACAAGAACAGCAGCCAAACTAAATGTAAGTAGTACTAGACTGTTGTGTGAGGCGGCTGCACCTGTCGTCAAGCGCCGGACCGCCATGGGGGTTCTTGAAAGAAGCCTCGATGTTGCAGCTTAGGGTTTAGCGAATGTAGAGCTGAAGGCTAGGGAGCATTTTGGGAACGGTGTGGTTCCGATTTCTGGTGCTGTGACATGTCATTGCAACAGTGGTGATGTCAGCTCATGCAAGATCTGAGGATTTTTTGCGCACTGGGGTACCGCAACTGAAGCACCCCAAACCCTTACTCTTGCAGATAACAGTCGAAGTTCCTGCTACCCTTATGGACATGAGCAGTCTTGTAGCGGCACGGGGGGACTCGGTGAAGCAGCCATGAAGAGCACCCTCTTCGTTAATGAGTAAACCGAAATACTTGGTACTAGTGTTCCCTTGCGGTCCCTCATGTACTTGTTCTAGATCATATACCCCAAACTCCTATTCACTTCTGAGGACCATATGCCCATGGATCTTGAGAAAGTGTGCGGGCCATTTAATTTAAAAGCTCCCAGTTCCGACGCTACAGCACAGCTAGGTATGAACCCCAAGCACGCACGCCTCTACACCATGCAACAACAACACTACCTGCAGTACTCGCTGCTCTGCTGAAGCCTGTGCAGTGTGGGCCTCAGAGCCGGTCTCTGCGAGACTCATTATAGGTCCCTGTCATCTAGGATCCTACCTTTTTAAGGTGCATCTCCGGGTTCCTTGTTTTAAGGAAGTAGTACATTGTAGTATATTGCAGTATATCATATTCTAGTCCCTATGTGTAGTATATTGCAGTACATCAGATTCATGTCTCTAAGTCTCAAACTCCTAGGCCTTCAGCCCTAAGCCATACCTTCTTAAGCTCAGCTCTGAGTCTTCAAGCCTGAACTTCCTCACAGCTTTAGNNCCCCCCCCCCCCCCCCCCCCCGGTGCAATCAGAATAGGGATGGTAACACTGACACTAGCTACAGTCTATACACCGACCAGCAGAAGAAGAAAGCCAAAAAGGCCCCAAGCCCTAAAACCCTCAAACCCNNCCCAAAACCCTAAACCCTAAAACTAGACCTGTTTAAGCAGCAGCTATACTTGAGTTGCTTTACAAGGTCTAGTCTAACTCTACCTTAAGGCCTGGGATTGCTGGGCCAAGGTCGGAGGTGCTCTCCGTGCACTCGGCCAGTGCTGCGCCGCAGGACCTGGAGGCCAGTTTGGGCAAGAGGGTTTCTAGAAATAGATCATGACGGAAGAAGTCATAATGATATTGATAATGTTAATTATGGTGATATAATGGTAGTAATTACTACAACGACTATCAGTACGATTATCACGTTTATTAGGGTTTGGGGTCTCTTATTATTCGGGTGTAGAGTTTATTGTTCTTAGGGTTTAGGGTTTCTTGTTATTCGGGTTTAGGGCTAAGGTGGTCAGTTGTCGGCCTTTAGCACACATGTACATGCTCTTGCCATGTTGTTTGCATGGTGAAACCCCCTACTTGTTGACCAGAGTTCGCCTCTTTGGTCCGAGGGGTGCTTACTGCCCAGTGGGCCCCCTTTTTTTACTATATTATTGTGGCATGAAGTCCCAGGAGACCATCCGTATTATGGGTTTGGGAGCCTAACTTCATAATAGTAGTATATCTGGACCCTCTGGGATTTTACTGTCATTGTTAACTGGGTCAGGACTGGCCGTAGGTGTGTCGAGTTTGGCTTCATGTGTTCAGCTTGCTAAAGGTTGAGGGTTCAAGGGTGCAGTTGTAAAAGTTATACATACGGAAGAATAAGGAGGGTCCGAAAAAAAAAGGCCCTTCCCTACGGGGAGGTTATCACTCAGGGGTCTGCGTTGAGTGACGTAACAGGAGCTAGCATAGTTCACTGCAACCCAAGGCCCTGCCCCTCCGGCGGTCTCAACGCTACAAACCCTAAACCCCCTTGAAAATCGAGACCCGAGCCCTAAAGCCCTAAAGCTCAAGAGCAGCGGACTTCACAAGACTGGGCTCTTGAAGGAAAGGTTTACAAAGCCTCGATGCACGCTACAGACCGCATAAAAAGGCCTGATGGACAATCTTTTAAAGCCCAACGCACTTTTGGATCGGCGGGGCATAGAAGCGTATTGCGGAATCATGGATTCTATTCTAGTCCTGCTTATCTGGTCGGAGGCCGGATGAAACCAGGAACCTCTACACAACCCAACAACGCCCAGAGCCTCTAGAACACCCCGTAGGAGCGTTTACAAACACAACAGTAGAACCTGTATCAACGATCTCTAAGATCGTCGAAGATCCTCGGAAAAGGCTGCTTTGGCAAACTGGAACATCGGCCTGGACGATGCTGGCGCCGGTGCCTTTGCTGGCCCACTGCGCCCGGAACTTAGGAGTTTGCAGGTTTGCCGGGGTTTCAGAGTTTGCTTTATAGTAAAGTTTGGGATGAGTTTAGAGTTTAAGGCTTTTAAATTAGCCTTAGAGTTCTTTGCAGGGGCTGGCTCAAGTATGTGGAGATCCGACACCGACCCTGAAACCCTTTGCCAGTTTGGGGTTTCGGAACGATGGTCTGGTTTGCGTGTTTGTCAGCGGCCTGGGTATCACGCGGGAGCCCTAGACCCTATAAGCCGTAAGACCCTAAACCCTACACCAGCGTGGGCTGTACTGGAGGACCGGGCTGGTTACCGGGGAAGGCTCTAGACCCTGGCTGCAGGCAACGTACATTTCAGGTTCTTGCAATAATTTCCCTAAGGCTCTAAGGACTCATATTCTAAGGCTTTTGGGCCCAAAGACCATACTATACAGGGTTTTTGGGCTATGTTGAGCCTTAGGGTTTCTGAGCCCGAAGCCCTAAACCTGCTGCTTCAGACCCTGAACTTATCTGAAACCCTTGACAAAACCCTATACCCTAAATCCTAATCCCTAAACACGTAAGCCCCTAAACCCTAGATCCTAAATCCTAAATGCCTAAACCCTATACCCCATAAATCCTAAACCCTAAACCCCTGAACCCCATAAACCCTGTAAACCAGATCCCAAACCACAAACCCTAAACCCCTACACCCTATAACCTATCAATCCTAAACGTCCTAAACCCCACACCCCTATACCCCATAACTCCTAAACCCTATAACCTATCAATCCTAAACGCCCTAAACCCCTACACCCCATAGCCTAACTCCTCAAAGCCTTCGGCAGGCTTCGACAACGGGGATCCTGGGGGCTGCCACCCTCCGCCAAGCGCACCTTGGCCGGCACATGTTTGCGGGGGGGTTTAGGGTTTGGGGGTTTAGGGTTTAGGGTCTAGGGTTTGGGGGTTTAGGGTTTGCGGGTTTGGGGTTTGGGGGTTTAGGGTTTAGGGTTGCGGTTTGCCAGGTTTTAGGATGATATGGATAGCTCTTTACATTAGGGTCCCTTTTTAGGAACCCAATATAGTACGGGATCCTGAAAAAGAACCCTAAAAGCATCCCTAATTCAGAAAACTGCCCATATACGTTGTAGCAGATTGTAGTTCACACTACGGCATATTGTATTTTAATATATTACGGTATAACCTTCGCCATTCGGCGGGTGCCATAGTATCTGCAGCGTTCCAGCGTTCCAACAGCAGACGCATCACCCATAGTCTCCATTGTAGTTCGATATTTGTTTAACCCGAGTTGTATTTAGGATCATATGAAGGTAACCCCCCAAAAAAAAACATATTACATTGGAGACTAGTTACAGGCAACCTTCACGGGTTCTCAATGAGACCGTAGAGGACTCTAGACCGTAGCAGACATCCAGACATCTCCAGCAGTGCATCAGAAGGAGCTGGAAGAGGTGCCTTAGCAGTTAGTGACTCCAGACAATGTAAAAAATTATGAGACAAGCTTACGAGAGGCTATCAACAAACAGTCCCGATATAACATAAGCAAACATAATAAAATACTCTAAGCCCTAAACCGTAAAACCAGAACCGTGTACCCTGGCGTGCCAAACCCCCCAACCTTCACAGCCTCCAGAGCCCCGTTCCGCCGCGCCCCTGCGCCCGCTATGATTTGAAGGTCTTTGGCGGATCCCTGGCCGAAGCCTCAGTTGCTTAGGGTTCCTACTTGGGGGCTTCATGCGCAGGGTTATAAGTAACGGGGTAACTATAGTCACAACCCATGTTGGGGCCTTACAACCCCCCTTGTAACTTCCGATGAACCTCCAAGTAGGGTTTAGAGCCTAGGGAAAACCCCGGCCATGGCCCATCGACCCTGCATCGACAAACAATAGAGGAAACCCTGAAGCCCGAAACCTCAGAAACCCCGAACACAAAGCGGCGAAAGCCGCATTCCGAAAACCTCTAAACCTGATGCCCCAGAACCCCAAAACCTTACACACTTTAACCCTGAAGTCCTAAGCCCTACAATCTGTGGCAGTCTGCGCTGTAGCTTCTTATCAAAATGGTTTGGGGGTTCGGGTATATAGGACCTACAGTTTGGACCGGTACTTGTTGTCCTGCTCTTTCGAAACCGAGGGGCAACTGTTGAGATTATTTGCCTCTTGGATCCATGACCGCCTCGTCGCGGCTCAAACAAGACCGTGGCGGCAAAGCCTCGCCAGGGTGGTACTAGGTGCCGTTGCAAGCAAAATCCTCCACAAAAGGCAGCTAGGAAGGCTGAACCCTACAAGCCATAGAACACGTCGGGCTTTCATCATCAAAGGTCACGGTTTGAAGGATGTGTGCATCTCTGTATATATCTGTCTCTATTGTATAATATGTTATATGTATATATAATGTGCATACACATCTATCTCTGTGTCGATCTAGTATGGGACTTGTCATTGTGTGATATTTAGCTAGGGCGTAAATTCGGGTATCGGTCCGGGTTGCAGGGCTCCTTCGACCTAGAGCCGGCCAAGATGGGTGGCGCTGCAGACGACCTCTTGGCCCGCATCGAGCGGCTGGAGCGCATCGTGGAGGTCCCGAGCTTCCAGAGTGTCCGAGTCCACTCGAACCGATGATCAGGCAAAGCGAAGAGTGTACAGCTGCGTGTGTGTATATGTCACATGATACTGTCTTTATATACCGGACCAGACTTGTTCACAATGCATGTACTGTATATGTTTCTACATACATGTAGACGTGCACACGCATATATCCAAAGGTTGTTGTTGTGGCATGTGGGCTTGTAGGCGAAATCCAGATCGGAAGAGAGCGCATGGCATGATCGACTGCAAACAGCAACATGAACAGGCGCATGCCATGCAGAAAAAGAATAGTGTGAACGATCAGAATCATGACGGTCAGACAGACCAGTCAGCTGTATGCAGCTACATGACGGCCCGTTGTGATACGACCACAACATGAAGTGTCCTCGAGCGCCTGCTGGGTACAGACGCCTTGTTGTCATATTCAATCGTACTCCTGTTAGACAGAAGATTCCCCAACTTCGATTCAGGGGCTGCAAAGCCCCGGATAAGCTTGGCGCAAGTGCTGAAGCGTCCCTGAATGCTGAGCCTGTAGAAACACTCCACCAGGATCATGGCAAGCGGCTGGACGATGTTGCGCCCAGAGGCGCCATGCCCATGAAACCCTTCATCCACCACTCGATAACCTCGTATAACCTTTCAAAGCAGAATCCTACTGAACAACAGGCTCGGAGTTGTGTGGAGACACCAGAAGGTAATAAAGATGCTTGCTTAAACAGTAACACTTGTCACAGCCACAGCTGGCGCCAACAGTAAATGCTACAAACATATGTGTATCTACCACACAAACCGAATGATGCTGATAACAGTCATGAAACTCCATGACCATTGTGGTTTGCATTTTGAAGTCGTTGATTTCTTGTGAGGCAACAGCTGTGTGATCCATAGTGTTCCGAACACAAGGGCATACCATGGACATGTAAGCACGATCGACGAACAAAACCACCAGCACAGCCACATCGGCGCCGTGATTCTCACATTAGTAAAGTACGCATGACAGTAGTTGCCTTGGTAGAAGTGGCAGAAGTTGGAACGGACGTCGTCGTTGTCGTCGTGGTAAAAGTGTTGTTGTTGCTACTTCTGTTGTGAATAATGTCGCACGTGTTGCTTTTGCTTTTGTTGCTGCCGTCGCTCTGTTAGCCCTTGTTGCCGTTGTCGGTTGGGGTGTGTGCGCGTGTGTGGCTGCTGTTGCTGTTGATGATGGTGGTGTTGTTGATGATGATAGCGTCGTTGGTGTTGCTGTTGGTGTTGTTGGTGGTGTTGGTGGTGGTGGTNNGGTGATGGTGGTGGTGCTGGTGCTGGTGCTGGTGCTGGTGCTGGTGCTGGTGCTGGTGCTGGTGCTGGTGCTGGTGCTGGTGCTGGTGCCGGTGCCGGTGCTGGTGCTGGCGCTGGTGGCGGCGGCGGCGGTGTTGCTGTTGTCGTCGTCGTTGTTGTGGTTGTTGGTGTTGGTTGTTGGGTTTTCTTGTAATTATTGTTATTGTTATTTGTTTTGGTATTGGCAGAGTTTGTGTTCTTGCAATTGCTATTGTTCATGGTGCTGGTGCTGGTGCAGTATCCACAGTGGCAATGACCAAACTAGATGTCACACACTTAGCAAGCACCCGCACTGGCAGTTAGAATAGTGCCATTGTTGTTGTAGTCAATGTAACAGCATCATTACACGAAAGATCAAGAAAGCAACTATAGTTATAATGACAATATCAATGATGACGACAATGACACTAACACTGATGCTTTAAGTTGTGTTGAGGTTCATGTCTCGGTGTAGCACGCAATTGAAGCCGATCTCCAGAGCGTGACGATGGTCGTGGGTTATGTTTGGGCGGGTGGCTGGTGCAGAGATGAATCACTTCAGGAGACCCCTAAACTGAGTGCCGTGAAGATAAAACCTAAAACCCGTCAGCCCCTGAACCGTAAATCTCGAACCCCTAAACTGCACATTGCACACCTTAGGATGCGTAAACAGCCAGGATATTGGGTAAAGAAGCACGTGGCTTCATTGCAGGAGGCCGGCGAGATGCGCGCCGTGGAGAGACCACGCCGCCAATCAACGCTGCCAAGGCAGCCTGTCGCTACAGAGGGTGATGAACAAAAATTAGGCCTCATAAGCCAGAAAGACCCTACACTCCCTACCACCTTAAGCTCCGGCTAACTTACTGCTGATGATAAGTTTTCGCCTTTCGGAGGTCTGTGAGGATGATGGGAGAACAGGAGATGGGAAAAATCAGGATTGGGTTATCCGGTACCCTCCCAAGCACCCTGGGAAGGCATCAGACTTTCCTCATTTCTCGAAGTCTAGGAAGGGTTGAAGGTTCCACCTGAAACCCTTGATTTGTGGCCAAACTGCAAACCCCAAACCCTTCTCACGCATCCTTATGAAGTCGAAATCGGAAAACTAGTTCGGTGCAGACCCCAGAAAGCTCCTGCATGGCAGTTCTATGCCACCTGCAAGCCCCACCTCCCAGAGCGACATTGGAAGACGGTTCAGGGTAGATGCCGCCGAGATAGTTTCGGGTTCTAGGGTTTCGGGCTTTCGTAGGGAACCGAAACTTTAGGCCCTGACCCAAACCTCCCTCATCCTGCGGGCGCTAAAGAAAAGAAACCCAAAGAGCCACCAATACTGTTCCTTGAGGTTCCTGATGATAAGCAGTAGTAGAAGCTGCCCAAAGCGCAGTTCTCACAATTACGGCCGCTATGTTGCGAACCCTACACCCTGAACCCGAACTTATGCCAGGCCCCTGTAAACCGGGCATCCTCTGCGGCAGCCAATCGCCGCGCCGGCAGCCGAAGTCCTGATGTCCGGGGCTCCAGTCTCGCAGCCTATAGGCTTCGCTTCCTCAAAGGGCTCGTTTCTTTCGAAGGGCTCTGTACTGGTTAATTACTACATCGAGGCTCATAGAGGCTTCAACTAGAATAGGTGTTTGAGGTATGTAATCGTCTGGTTTTTCTTCAATTCCGGAGCCCCACCCAAATAGGCTGTTGGTGATTGCGCAGGCTGCTATACTGTCAGAGCAGTCATGGCACAGCCAAAACAGGTTTTGGCAAACTGAAACGTGTTAGGGCTTAGCGGGGCCGTGATAGGCCTCATGTTGGGGAGTCTCATGCTCAAACGGGGGTTTGGGTTTAGGGCCATCTTAGAGTCCTCTTTCCGCTTAATCACAGTCAGATCAGGGTTCAGGATTTATTTTGGTGGCTGTACGGTAGTAACTGCTTACAGCCCCAAGTATTACAGTAAGGTACCATGGACGCTAGTCAAGAATTCGCAAAAGAAGTATTTGTTCCTGAGTGTTCCTTATAGCTATAGTAAGGTCCCTGTGTTGCTTGCAAGTATCTGTGCTCTTGAGGTTCCACGAGCCACCCCGATCTTGGCCACATCGCCCCGAGCGCTACGGGCACCCGGCGTGTCTCGTCTATCATAGGGGTCCGAACCTGAAAGGTATTATTATTTTTTATTATTATTATATTCGTGGTAGTAGTAGTAGTAGTAGTAGCAGTAGTAGTAGTAGTAGTAGTAGCAGGAGTAGTAGTAGTAGTAGTAGAAGAAGTCGTGGTAGTAGTGGTAGTAGCGGTAGTAGTGGTAGTGGTAGTAGTGGTAGTAGTGGTAGTAGTGGTAGTAGTACTAGTAGTAATAGTACTAGTAGTAGTAGTAGTAGTAGTACTACTTAGTAGTAGTAGTAGTAGTAGGAGGAGGAGGAGGAGGAGTAGGAGTAGTAGTAGTAGTAGTAGTCGTCGTCGTAGTAGTAGTGGTAGAAGTAGTAGGAGGCTTCCTCAGGGTTCCTTAGCATCATAAAAAATGATAAGGTACACCGAACCCTATTCTAGCTATCAAGGTGTAACAGCCCTTGCTTCTTTCGTCGTTCTGGGTAGGATCTCACCATTGAGTTGTGGGTCCTACGGCATCAGTGCCCTTTGCCCTGATACCCTTGCTTTGGTAACTGAGCTTGTAATCTTCAGGGTTACCAGTTGTTTCTACACGAAATCATTCCCACATACCCCCGTGAGAGCCAATACGAGACTACAAAAATCAGGTACTTCTTCTTTAGGTGTACGGTCGATATAGGCGATATAGGGTTTCCCTCCATGCATCAGCATGTTCGCAGGCTATTGGGTGTCTATGGCGGGCGTGACCTACAACCCTACTTGCAAATACCTAGGGCAACCTCAGATTCTTTGACTCTACGTCTTAACCCCAAGCTCCGAGCTTCCGAGACTATTCTGTAGGTTTGGGTGGTGATTGTAAGAGGGTTTCCTTCCGACGGCTGGGCGCCTGCAACATCAAAACCCCCCCTACCCACTGCCCACCGAAGTCGAGTCGAAGGTCTATGTTTGTGGCGGGCACGCTTCTGGAGTTACTTGGCAAGTATACATGCAAGGAGGGGAGCAGCAGCACCCTGATCATCAGTAGCAGTAGCACCATCACTCCACCAACCTCATCCTCAACATCATCGACAAGCATACATAAAGCTCCAGGAATCGTCGTCGCTGCATTAGCCGTAGGAGCAGGAGTAGGAGTAGAAGTGGGAGTGTGCAAAGGTAGGAGGAAGACCCTTAGCCCGAAATCCTAAGCCCTCCACCGTAGAGTCGTCGTCTTGCTTCTCTCTGTTTGCATGAGCCACCGGGTTTGATAAGAGCAAACTTTCAGCTGCCAGAGGGGTGTTGTTGTAAGTTTTCTGAATCCTACCTTAGGGGTTTAGGGTATATAGGGAGCAGTAGTGGCACTTATTCAGACTGTCTAATTTTCGAACTGGCCAATTCGAGGTCACGCTCGGGGCGACTTCGCGGCTTAACTCTGCAGCTGGGCCACTTCGGTGGTTGTGGGCTTTCCTTATTCCGAATTAGGGTTTATTGTTTAGGCAGGACTGTCCCTGGGTGCGCTGGCACATCCTGGGACAGGCCACGCTGAGCCCCAGCCCATCAAAGCCTCCCTCCGCGATGCGAAATGCTTTAGCCATGAGGTGACTGGCATTTGGGAGCCTATGCCGTCCATGCCTACACCACGGCATGGCTGCTGCGCGGCCTCAATGGTTGGCATCATCTACGTTGTCGGCGGTGCCAATGCGACTTGTCTGAAGTCCCAGGCCTTCGTATCCTGGACTACTCTTTCCTGGCTGCTCCCTATACCAGAATCATCTGGGCACCGGGTGACCCATCTACTTGAATCACCAGTCCGAAGACTTTTTTTCAGGGTTTTATGCTGACCTAAACTGGAAAGCTCTCAAGCGGACAAGAGAAGGCTTGAGCCTCGTGCCCGAAACACCAGCCCCTAGACTGAATCTGCACAACCTCCACAATTACAACACGTATGGCGGCAAGAGCTGGGAGACGATTTTTCAACATCTACCTCTTTCCTGAACTCGGGCCGCTTCTCCGGCTTTTTAGGCTTTTGGGTTTAGGGTTTGGGGGAGATTTTTGGGGTTTTGTTTTGGGGGCCTAGCTATGGTGGGCCTCGAGGATAAGTAGAGAGCAGAAAGGGCGTGATTCCAGAGAGATCCAGTAGTGCATGCTAAGTTGTTAATATAGGGGCCTTAATAAGTAGAATTGGGTTTTGGGGCCCAGTACACTATAATTTTAACAAGGAGCCCCCAAAGTAGTTTTAGTAATTAGGGAGGCCCTTACATTACGCTCTTCAAGGACGAACTGTCGGAGCCCCAAAACACGATGTGTTCAGGCTGTTACGTTACATGTGACTTCCGAAATCTGAAGAGTTTCCTTTGTTGAGACTAAGACTTGCCAAGGAGAGTGCACTCCCGCTGGACATCGCAGCTGGGCACCGGTTTACTCTAGAGCTTGCAAACTGAGGGAGAGAGCTTCCGACGGAGTCTTGGTGTGAGGGGTGCACCTGTGTTGCAGGGCTCTGTGCTACGGAGCATAAGATGCGACATGGTACAGCTACATGGTGCGACTGCAGCACGGATACAGAAATGGCACAGTTCTTTGAATTTGTTTCTGGGCGTCCGCCTTGCTCCGAGGAGCGTGTTATTTGTTTGCCGCCTTTGGGTGTTGTTTTCAGGATTCGGGCAACCTTTCTTTACGGGATCCATGAAAGAGGCAAGACCAGCCGAATACGTGTAATGTATTGCGCCCATTAGAGCCCTAACTTTATTTAACTCAACAACCACAGGTTTTGGTGTTTTTTGCGAGTGTGAGAGGGAGAAAATGTGAATGTGTGTGTGTGTGCGTGTGCGTGCGTGCGTGCGGTTGACTTTGTTTGTTGGGATGGATATTGGGGCTTCGGACTTTTGGTTCATCTAGGACCATCTAGGAAGCAGATGTCAGGGTTGTAAGCGAAGGTGGAGCGTTTCGACCCTGCTGGTGGATCCTGGGAGACGCTGCCGCCTATGCCGACGCCCAGGTCTTCTGGATGGTCTACTGCATGACTACGACTGTCGTTATCAGTTTGGGGATGAAGATCGAAGGAAGAAGGTCACGAGATGCTGAGCTTGAAAATGGTTGCATCGATGGCCATCGTCAAAAAATGCAGATAAGACTGGTGCTTTGTTCACTTGATGCTGCTTTTAGGGAGTTGCAAGACACCTCGATAGTGGCATGTCAGCGATGGGGGTAATGACGACGAATCCGAGCGTGTTCTGCTCTTTGGGTCCTAGAAGATCACACCTTGGGTTTAAAGTTTAGGGTTTAGGATTTGGGTGGCTGTCGAAATTAGGGTCCCTTTTAGGGTCCTTTTTATAAGGTTGCCGTACTAATTTTGGGGACCTAAAAACGGACCCTAACTTAGGGAACCACCCATATCATCCTAAAACCTGAGCACACCGCAACCCTAGCCCTAAACCCCCTAAACCCTAAACCCCCAAACCCGGACCTAAAAAGGAACTACCCATTTAGGGTTTCGGGCAGAAGCTTTTCAAGGCCCCAAACCTTGGGAGTGCCTCTGGGCGCTTCCTCCTTGGAGGCACGGCGCGGCCTCGGCCGCGGTGGCTGGAATGCTTTATTGCGTCGGAGGCTGGGTTGAGGGTTTAGGGTTTAGGGCCGAGGCTTTAGGGGTTGAGGCTTTAGAGCTTGAGGCTTTAGGGGTTTGGGGTTTAGGGGTTGAGGTTTTAGGGGTTGAGGCTTTAGTGTTTATTGTGTCCGAGGCTACTGTTGGGTTTGGCTCTTCGGGTTTTCGTTTTTGCGGTTTTGGTTTGAGTATAGGGTTCGGGGTGCCGTTTGTAACTTTGAAATTTGTTCACAGACCATAGTAAGGCCAGCGCGTTCTTCACGGCATATCCGTAAATTGGTAGCCTAAGTTCAGCTTCTTAACAAGAAGACAATGCGCTTTAGGTGCAGCCGTGGCTGTGTTTTGCAGTCGGGGTGATCCTGCTCACCGCCGTTATGTTCTCTAAATGTACCTCTTTAAATATCCAAAATAGTACAGCATCCTTATAGGAGGGCCTACTATTCTGTATAAGAGGGACCCTACAAGGGACCCTTGTTTAGAGAACTACCCATATGACCTTTACATCCTAGGTCCCCTAATCATCCAAGGAAGGTCTTGCAACGAACTTCACGCTTGGGCTCGATGGTAAGGGGTTGAAAATCCCCGAAACCCCTAAAAACCACTGACTTAAACACCCAAACCCTAAATCCTACACCCTAAACCCGAAACCGTAAAGTTTCGGAAACCAGAGATGTTGGTTGGTTGCATAGCCATCGAGTGCTGGCACAGCGCTACTGGATGGTGCGAGTTCAGTTATGACAATGACAGAGCAGTCCACCGACCTGCTCGAGAATGCCTCAAAGACAGCTCAGGACACCTTGGGTATAGGGTTCAGGGGTCTATCCTCACCCTAAGACTCCAAAAACCTCAACCCTCAACCCTGCAAACCTCAGGACTTCGAAAGCCTCAACCCTAAACCCTATAAGCCCTAAGACTGGAACAGCCTCGACCCTACACCCTAAGGCGCACGCCTCTAAACCCTCAACCCCTCCGACGCAGGCTATGATGGCGAGGGGGTACTCGACGCTGTGGAGCGTTTCGACCCAGCAGCACGCAGTGGCCAGACAAATTTTAACATGGCACCATTGCCAAACTAATGCTAAAACTGTTATTCCTAGTCCAGGGGTATTGTTTCAGTCGGAACTGCAACAGTAGGATTCACGCAGGTTCTGCGCTCGTACCAATATGTTCGGTATTAGGCAGAAGAAAAGTGAGCATGTTCTGTGTATGAGATGAGAATCGTGCTTCTGATCGTCATGATGATGCTCAATGCTCAGCTTGGGGACCGGGGGGATGATGTCGATGATTGCAATAGCAGTGATGATGAGGGAAAGGAGGATGGGGATAGAAAGACCCCGACAAAATCGGACATGACACCGTCATCATTCGTCATCACTGTAACGCATCACCGATGCTAAGGTGAAAACATTGATGTCCATCCCAAAACGTTCATGATGCTCTGGATGGTCAAGACCAAACATGATGGCACTGCTCATGGCAATGCCAAGCAAGGTGATGATGGTTAAAATCTTGATGCCGCGGCTTTGTGTTATGATGACCTCCCTGAAACTCCAGACACGTTCCTTGGGCCTTGGGAAGCTTGCTGTTGGAGCTGCCAATGCATAGAGCCCTAACGTACCAGGTTGGGAACAGCTGCCATCGATGCCCTCGGCACGAGGGCGCTGCGCTGCTACGGCCGGCGAGGGACGGCTCTTTGTGCTAGGCCTGCCAGATGGTTTTGAGGAAGGTTTGGATTTGCAGCAGCAGTAGCAGCAGTGGCTGCGGCTGTAGCTCCTGTCAAAAAAAGACCCAGGGATGGCAGCACGCAGCAGGTTTCCCTTAAGATGCATGTCAAGACTTTCCAGGCCCAAACTAAACCCTGAACTGCAAACCCTAACTAAAGCCAGCACCCCTAAATCAAACTACACTAGACCCTAAACTTTTGTGCTAATCCTTAAAGACCAACCAACTTTAGATCCCGAAGTGCACGGAGTAGTTGATTTGAGAACAACCTCTCCACGTGGCCCGTTGCCTCGTTCCGGGCTCTGGCTTCTACATGCGTTTTAGATCACGAAATTCCATCTTGTCGTCGCTTGGTGCATGAAGCCCAAAATTGTTGAGCTATGGTAGAATGCAATCAAACAATAAGGCTGCTGTGGAGCATTCGAGGCATTCGAGAGCTTTATTTCAGTGGGTATAGCTAAGCTCTAGCTAAACCCCCCCAGACCTCAGTTTAGGGCTTTATGATGGGTTTAGGTGTCAATCCTTAGGACGCCCGTAAGCATTCGGGCTCTCCCCAAGCTCGAAGCATCGCCCACACCAGACTTAAGCTCGAAGGCTTCACGAACCTGTATATAGTTGGGCCTTAAAAGAGGTTCCTGCAGAGGTACTTTAAGGCCTAAGTGTATATACATATATAGATAGGTACATGTATCCTTTCCGCTTTCCTTGTAGTTGGGATTTCCTTTCGATTGAAGTTTGTTAATAATTAGCCTAACTAAGACATAGTCCTACAAGTAGAATCGGGATCCCTGACACGGGGTCCCTAAACATTTCTGATTCCTCGCTTTCAATTCCCTAAGCTTTAAACCCGAAGCCCTGCATGTTTCTGAGTCATCGTTTTGAATTCTTCGCAGGTGGCACGGATGACAACTCCCGAGAGCTCGATGCGGTGGAGTGTTTCGATCCGAGTACTTGGACTTGGGAGGCCATAATAAGGGTTCTGCAAGGGTTCCCACGGTTTAGGGTTTAGGGTTTAAGGGTTCCTGTGGGGTTCGATCAGGGTTCTACGATGTTCCAAAGTAGTAGTTTGAGAGTTCTATATGAGTTCCTATTCCTACAGGTGTTCTAGACTTTTTCTAGGAGGGGTTACCTATGCTACGTCTCTCACTCGTACTGTTTTGCTCTTCTGGTTGGGGTATCTCTTGAACAACATTGAATAAAAGAAACATTAAGGAGATGTTGGAGAACCGCTAGTTTACCCTCGAATCAAGGGGGGAAGGCATGCTAAGGAGGGCTGCGAGGATAAATTTTCCGCAACCAAGAGCTTCGCAGCTCTTTAGTTCATTAAGGGGAAACTCTACTGAGTATCCTGCCAAATCTTCTACGGAAAAACCGGGCATAGCTCATGGAAGCACGAGGTACTAGATCGGTGCCCACGTGTACCTGCAGAAGCCCTAGACGTTCTGATTTCGGAGCGTGTCCTTTTAGAGCCAACTCCTGAGCCCTAGGAAAACACAAGAAGCCTGGTGCAACCAGCTAAGACGACAGACAGTAGAAAATAAAAGAGCTCATATATGGTAATATAACATGACCTGTTATCATCTGAACTGGCATGATATGGTACGCTATGATATGATAATATTATATATACATATACATAT